CCTTGTGGTCTGTGCCAAAAGGAGTATTATTTTTTAAACAAAATTGGAAAATTATGAATGAAATTATTCTGACATGTTGTTTTCACTGTAGAAGTCATTGGTTCTATACAGTGTATAGTGGGTGAATGAACACAGAAGTGCCAATAGCCTGGCGTGGGGTTATGAGGGGCATAGCAGGCATGGAAGGTATCACCAGAGGGTGGGAATGGAGAGACGTGAGGTGGCATGGATTGGGCATACAAAGTATGTAGAGGGTGACTATAGGTCCTTACTTGTTTCATTACAAATGAGACAACGTCACACAGGCATCAAAATGGTCCATTTAAACAGTCCCACCTCAGCGCCCGATATCTCAGGCATCTGCCTTCCACTTCTCTCGCAGATCAGCTGACCTGACTGCAGCCTGAACTCGGCACTACCCTTGTTCCCCAACCCTGGGCATTGAGATTGCACTCATGGAGCCACTCTCTCCCAAGATGGGCACATGTAGCCAGGCATTTACCCAACTCTAGCCATCCTCCACCTGGAGGGTCAATATCCAGCCTGAGATCGCTGTAATCAGCAGAGAGTCTAGTCTGAAAGCACTGAAGCCGATTATACGTTCTGCACTGACATATCGGCCAATTCAGACAGAGCAAGGTTCTGTCACACAGCAGCAACCTGGGACCTCTCACTAAGATGTTTATTGTTGCTTTTTGTTCCCAAATTCGAGACCAGCTCAGTACATTATCTGTTTACAAAGAGGATTTTGCATAATGGAACGTACACACTGCTTAAATTCCAGATCCTTTTTCAGCTGGTATCTGGTATCAACCACGGCCAAAAGAAAACTGAAGAGATCTTTTGTCATTTTCTTCAAAGGAGAAAGCAGCAAAAAATCTCTTAATGTTCACTGTTGCTATGCCTACTGCACCTTGTGTAACTACATTGACTGTCAAAACTATTCCATTACATCAACAAAGCAACAGCTAAAAGGAGATGAAGATTGGTTTGATGGGCTTTCTACCTATTAATCTCCATTATACACCAGGAAGCAGAGGGGCATAGAAATCACAAACCAGTTTTGATTCATCATTTGCCCATTTTTATACTAATATCCCTCAGGGTAGGACTACACTAAGTTATAAACATCACAACGACTTGAAACATCAGACACAATTGAAAAGACACTGTTGGTTTCCAACTACAGTAAATTTCTCTATTGACAGTAGGTAGGATTTTCTCAATCAAACAGTCTTTTTTTCTTTCTGGCTCAATAAACCAGGGAAAGTTTAGTTTGGATAGTGATGCCAACAGACTAGAGGAAGAAATGGAAGTTCGCAGAACACAACACAAATGGTGACGAACACAGAAAGGCTAACATCTGTTTCCTAATTAAATTTTAGAAATATTAAAAATGCCTACACATGATTAGAATTTGATGAGTAAATAGGGTGGTTAAGATTGTTACAACTATTCAGCTGCAGGAGATAAAACTGCATAATCACTGCAGCCTGAACCCCTGCATAGTGCAATCAGTAAGTTATATCAGATATGACTGCTTACTGACATTTCTGCAGCTCAAAATGAGAATAGTCATTTCATTAGACAATAATTAAAGTGCATTGCTAAAGTTAAAAAAATGTTTTAAAATTAAAATCTACATACTCAGGGTTCAAAGACTTTGAGAAGGTAAACAGATCTGACTAAATGAAGTCGGATGCAAACATACAAGCAGTCACTCTCATCTCACCTCAGGAATGCAGTTCTTTTGTCCTTGTTTGGGCAAAAAGGTTTTGATGCATTCTGGAGCCAAATCCGAACTGAGTGTTGATGAGCCCTTTAGACCTGCCAATTAATTGAGGCTTGATAGCAGTCAATGACAGCCTCCATCCCTTTGCTGATGACTGAGACTAGATTGTTGGGGACAGTAATTTGTTGCATTGGGTTTATCCTGACAGTTGTAGACTTGACAACCTGGACAAATATCTACATTGTTGAGTAACTGTCAGTATTTGTAAGCAGGCCATTCAGTCCATCTAGTGTCCACTGACCCTCCAGAGAACATCCTACCCAGACCCACCCCCCTACCCCATCCCTGTAACCCTGCATTTCCCATGGCTAATCCATGTAGCCTTGCACATCCTTGGACACTATGGCCAATCCACCTAACCTGCACATCTTTGGACTGTGGGAGGAAACTGGAGCACCCGAAGGAAACCAACACAGACACGGGGAGAATGTGCAAACTCCACACAGACAGTCACCTGAGGGTGGAATCAAACCTGGGTCCCTGGCGCTGTGAGGCAGCAGTGCTAACCACTGGGCCAATGCGCAGCCCTAAATGGAACAAATTTTCATTAATAAATTTTTTTTAAATTTTGTGCTAACTCATTTAGTTCTAAATTGCTCTTAAACCAATACCTACCGGTGGAAATAATTAATTGGACTTACAGATCACTGCACATGCTACATTTTCAATATTTATTTATCATATAGGAGTTCAAGAGTTTGGGACCTAACTTTAGCAAGATTTTACTTGTAGTTTTACTGGAAATTTGCATCCTTTTGGGTGTTCAGGGAGGTTTAGAAGGTGCATACACATAAATCATTAAAATGTCATGGACAACTGCAAAAGGTAATCAAAAAAGGCTATTGGAATGGAAGCCTTTATATCTAGAGGATTAGAATACAAGGGGTTTGAAATCATTCTACAGATATAAAAAGCCCTGGTTCAACTACACTTGGAGTTTTTAGTTCTGGGCATCATACACTAGGAAGGATTGGCTTTGAAAGGAGTGCCACATAGGTGTACCAGAATGATTCCCATTCTCTAGGTGTTAATTACAAGGAAAGATTGCACAAGCTGGAAGTTGTACTCCCTAAAGAGTAATTTGATCAAAGTTAAGAGATAACAAGGTGTACAGCTGGATGAACACAGCAGGCCAAGCAGCATCAGAGGAGCAGGAAGGCTGACGTTTCGGGTCTAGACCCTTCTTCGTTTTCTGAAGAAGGGTC